GTAGGACAGAAGAAGAAAGCATGAATGTAGAAGGAGAAGCAGGCAGAAGAGAAAAAAGATCAAAGAAAAGGTGAAACAAGAAAAGATGTTCCCAGTGATGCTGAGACACTTGTCTGCACCCCTATACCAGCCCAAATCTGTCCTAAAGCATAAGAGGAAAAAAACCCAATCCAGCAGGATTTCTGTCAAACTAGATATTTAGGCTAAGAAGCATAGAGATTGGTAGAACATATTGTGTTAAAAGCCTCTGGGTTTAGTGCACAAGCAGGGAGGGAGGAAGCAGGGAGGGCATGGGGTGAGCACTTGAGTGAGGGAAAGAAGAGTGGCCACACATTGAGATCACAGGGGCAAGGGATTACAATGGCTTTCAAATAAGCTTTAACCAAGAAACAGAAGTGTGTCAAAGTATAGTTGGGTGAAGGTAGAAGGCAGGAATAGCAGAATCCAATACAATAGCAACCAGCTGTCAGAAATCCTGGCACAGCCTTGTGACTAACAGCATCTGGGAAGTACAGGGAGGAAGGGTTGTAAAGCCCAGGTAGGATGAAAACCTTGGGTTAAGAATAGAGATGGACTCCCTCTCCATCACTCCTTTCAGTACCAAACACTATCTGTGACGAGAAGAGATAATCAAAAATGCAGAGAATACACAAGAGGCTCAGAGGTACCACTAGTGGTGTAAAATGCATCTGGGAAGAAAGTGAGCATACCATGGGTCTATTCCCTGGAATCGAGATGAGAACTGAGGACAGCAAAGGAAAACCCTTGGGATTTATAGCCCTATCTTGGCATGCTTCATACTGAAAGCAGGAGATACCCAGGAGAATCTAGGATTTCAGCATCACCAGCTTGGTGTTATGAATAATGGGAAACACTGCCCTAGGCCAGGGGAATTTTTTTGCACTGAGATTCTGATTCCAGCATTTCAGAGTGACAAACTAGGATTTTTGAATATTTTTTTTGCAGTTTTCCTGGGAAGACCAACTAAACAGAAAGAAAATTGACAGTAGAGAGTTCAGCTGCATCCTGTCATTGTATCTTTGCCCAGCTTCTCATCTTCCAGGAGTTTGTGTGTTGCAGAGTACTTGGTGCTGTCATGTCTAGTTTGTTTGCAGCAGTTCAAGGGGGCTCCCATTCCTCACACACACCAGCTTTCCCTTGCCTTTCCCAGTTCCCCCTTTTTAGAAACTTTGCTGCCCAATTTTGCTGCCTCAGGTCAGACAGTTGCCCTGCTCCACACTGCTGCAGAACCTACCTCCTCTAGCTCAGAAGCAGCACCGGAACACCTGTGTATGCTCAGCTCCTTGATGCAGACCTATGATGCAGTTAGAATTCCCTTGCTTTCCCATCTCCCTGCTAACATCTCTGCTGCAGTGCTACAGAGTCCTCCAGCTTTCCCCTTCCCAACTTCCATCTCTCCTGCAGCATTTGAAGTCACCCTGGCTTTGCCCATTGCCTCTAAGGTGCTCCATTATGTTCCGTTTCTACTCCTACTTTCTATTCTACTCCCTTTCACTAGGCATAGTGAGGGAAATGTTGCAGTAAAGTTTCCATATATGTGTGGAAGGAGGAAGGGGAGGAAGAGATCAAACTTCATAGATCCTGGAGACATTCTTGCATGGCCTGCTGCGAAGGAAATGAACAGGAAAGAGGTGATAGAAATGTCAGGCCACAAGGTGAAGAGATCACCGGGGCCCAGAGACAGTTACATCATCCCAGAAAAGAATGAAATGACAGACTGCACCCGAGTATAGCATGAAAACATTGACACAGAGATAATTAATGTTCCTGCAACTGGACCTTGGCCTCACACAGCTCTTCAATCGCTTCCTGCCTGGTGTCATTGCTTTATATGATTTGCTCTCTTTGAACACAGCAGCTCTCCCAGAGACTGTCTACCTCTTAACAGAGCTGTGAAATATAGGTGATGGAGTATGTATAAATATTTCAGAGACCAGATTCATTTGACAAGTCGGGTCTTGAGAAGTGACCAGAGACATTGACTCCCAGATGGAAAGACGGGACAAATATGTTCTGTGGAAACAGTCGGGGGGGAGCAAAGGCATTCTTCATCTTTGCTTTCTGACAAGTAGAATCACTACAGGGTGTGGTTTCCCTATAACAAGTAGCTTGCTTAGCAAGTGTGCATAGGAGTGCTGCCTTGCTGTCACCCATTGGAAACTCCATAATTATGAATGCTATGATTTATTAGGCCTTAAGCAATAATTATTAATTACCTTATTTAGCAAATGCAGTTATGTTCTTGGGTTTTGGCAGTATTTTTTCCTACTCCGAATATACTTTGGCAGTTTACTTTGAAATTCATCTTTCATAAGCATTTGTGCGAGTGAAACATGAGCATGTGCATTGAATACTAACACAAAAAAGGGGTGTGAAGCATACATTTTTGGATTTTTTTTACTCATTAGACAGATACGTAATTCATACTCATTCAAACACCAAGGCACTATTCCATAATTTAATGAAAATCCCTGAAAAAAAAAAAAAATGGAACACATAAGGGCTACACATAAATATCCTTATTTCAAAATTATGCATAGAAAAGAACAAGACTCATGTCTCCACAGTTTTATTTTATCACCATAAAGCTTCCTGGATCTGCAAACATCTCTTCATCTTGTTTTCCTTGGGTTGCCTTCAGCCTGCTTTGTGGAGATGTTGACAATTTTATTTTGTCTCACTATCATCAGGTCCTGCTTCTCCTCATGCCATGGCAAAGGGCTTGATCCACCTGTACTTCTGGTGCTGGCTGTCTCCTTCTACCTACACACCCTTTATTAACGCTTCAACCACCCACTGCAGGGAGGAATAAATCCTTCTCAGACAAGGGTTTATTGTATTAAAGAATAAATTTGCTCATATCAGGTGCTTTCACAGTTGCTCTGCTCTATGCTATCAGCTATGGAAAAGGCATCTTAAGAGTGTGAAAACCACAGTTTCTTGGCAAATACTCCCTTAGTTATAACAAAAAGAAATACAAGGGAAACCTAAACCACCACAAAAACAAACAAGGCAGTTTCATACTGGTGGTATCCTGGTAAGTGAAAGAATAGAGTCCAGTGGGAAATTGCCTGCCATGCCTTCCACGTGCATGGATGCTGGGCACGGGGCGGGGGGACTCTGGGCTCTACGGTGATGGTGTTCTGTCTGTATCGCTGCTCTCTTCCTGGTGCATGTTACTGCTTTTCTCTTTCTGACTGAGCACCGTTTACAATAGAAATAACTACTTCCTAATTAGGGGCTATACCTATTAATTGATCGTTTGATAGAGCATGACTGAGCAACCAGTCGCTCTTTGGGCCATATCTTTTGATTTTTTTTTTTTTAATTACTTTTTAATCCAGGGAGTGACCTGTTCACATGACAAATCAGTGCCTGCCAGGTCCCGCATCCCTCGTGAGCTGCCGCGGGGAGAGGGCATGGATGCAGAGCCGCGGGGCAGGGCCGGAAGCCCCCGGGGACAGCGCGCCAAGCACACGCGTGGCCGAGGCGGGGGCGCGCAGGGGCCAGTCCCGAGGAAGAGCCAGAGAGGACACGCTGTCGCTAAGGGACATCCGCATCATCCCGTACACGGGAACCCCAGCTAAGCCATCGCTGGGGAAAAGGCGAGCCGGAGCCCGGCACCCGGGAGCAGAATGCGCCGCTAAGAGGGGTTTCCACGGCGCTGGCTCTGCTTTGCGGTCTGGCTCATTGCTATGGACCCGGGACAGGCACGAGTGGGCTCGCCAGCTCGGGGGCAAGCAGGTCTAGGCTTCCCAGAAGCAGTATTTTATCTCCCTAGCAAAGCAGCGGGAGATAGAGATGGTAAAGGCAGGGCCCCGCGTAGCCGGCGCTGCCGGTGGCGATGCTCGGGGCTCGCTCAGCATCTTCCTCCTCCTCCCGGCCTCTCGGCCGGGCCCTACGCGGGGGCACGGGGAGCGGGGCATGCACAACTTCCCCGCTCCGGGTTTCACGTCGGAGCATCACCACGGCCCGGGCCGGCAGTCCGGCGAGTATCGCGGCCCTCGCAGCCGCGCACCGGGCTGGGGCTCCGCACAGCACCCCCGCCCCGCAGGAGCGCCGCGCCCCGCCGCTCCTCCGCAGCATGCACAGGGCAGCCCCGCCAGCCTGCAACCTACCCGGGGGGGGGCCAAAAACTTTGCTGGCACCAACGAGCACCAGCACGGGAGACACCCCGGAAACCTGCGCTGCCCCCCATCTCTTGGCATCTCAAGTCCCAGCCGGGAGAAGTCGACCTTGCCGCGAGGGTCCTAAAATGAGAGTACCCTGGACTGACAATCGGTCTCCCGCCCGAAGCAAGTCCCTTTTTCTCCGGTCTTGTCTATCATTGGGTCTTTCTGCGGTCTTGTCTATCATTGGGCCGGGGCGAGGCGTGGGGAAGCTCGCAGAATTGGGTAGGAGGCAGGGCTCTCCCATCACACCCGTTTTAATTGGCTTTTTTTTTTTTTTTTTTTTTTTTTAAGAAGGGGATGAAATGATGGAGAGGGTGGGGGAAAAACCTGAAAAGCCAACAGAGTAGAAAATAAGGCGAGGCTGGCAGACCCGGCAGGCAGGTGTGAGGCGCCCTCGGGCCAGCCCCGCTGGCGGGCGCGGGCAGCCCCGGACGCCCCGTCGGGGGGCTGTGGAGCGGAGTGGCCCGGGGCCGGTGGGGAGCGGTGACGTTCCCGGCAACTTCTGCAGATTTTGGAGCTTCAGGAAACAGCGGTGGGGTAGAGTCCTCCTAAGCGGTTTCCAGCTGGCATCTGGCAGGAGTAGCTACACTTTGTCCATCTTCTTGTCCCGCATTGCCGGCTCCCTTCCAGTTGCAGCCCGTTAGTTCCCATTAGGAGCTCCGGCAGCCGTCGAGGGAGGCACGGGCCCCTGTACAGCTGCAAATCCTCTGTGAGGCGGGCGGAGCAGGCGAGCACGGAGGCGACGCACCCGCACGAGGCTGGCACACAACATCAGGGAAAGTTTTGAAGGGCGAAGGACCTGGCAGGCTGGGGAGGAGGCGAGGAGAGCCCGGCTGAGCTGCAGGCGCTGCAAGGGTGTGTGGTCTCTCTGCTCCTCGGTTGCTTCTCCCTTCAGGCTGGTTGGGGCGGTGCAGTGCAGCTGAGGGAGCTCTTGGGAGCCGCTTAAAAAAAAAAAAAAATCCTTCCTGGATTTGATTAATTACAACAATCCCCTCCTCAGAAGGTCTGGAAAAGAGGAGCGAGAATCACCTATCCCTTCCTCCGCCTTTCAGCAGCTGGCTACTACTCCCCACCCTCGCTTCCCCGCTCTTTCTCCACCTCCTTCTCCTTCTCCCCGTCCGCTCCAGGGGCTGCGGCCAGAGCCTCGTCAGGAGGAGGGAGGGTGAAGACTCACTCAAGTTGGCCCTAGTTGGCAGCACTTTGGGCAGCGTGGGACTTGGGGCAGAGCTCGGCAGCTCCTGCGGAACAAAGGAGCCCGGGCTGGCCCGGGTCCTGATCCTGCCCTACCCGGTGTCGGCCCGGTGCCCCTGGCCTTTCCCCGTACCCCGAGTGCGGGCGCGGCTGCCTGTTCGCCTGGAGATCCCCGAGCAACCTGGAGAGGGGAAGCGGTACTCCGCGTTTCTGCCCTTCCTGCCTCCTTCTCTCGCTCTCTCCCTTCCTCCTTCCTTCCTTTCTTTCTTTCTTTCTCTCTATTTTTTTTTTCCTCCTAAATTTTAAATTTTACCCTCAGGTGGCCCCTGTGTGGGGGGTCCCTTCCTCCGCCCGAGGGGCGCCGGTTCCCTCCGCGGAGCGGCGCGCATTGGGCGGCGTTTCGGGAGGCTTTCGGCTGCTCCTTGCTCCCCCGCCGGATGCTGCCTGAGCTGTTTTGGCTGTTTTTCTTCGCCGGCGATGAAGGCTCTGCCTTGAAGATGGACATGATCTGGTTTTTATTCCTGTCTCTGGTGCCCGTGTACATCAGGGGACAAGGGGTGTACGGTAAGACACGTTGTCGCTGTTTGCGAAGGAGGGGTGGGGGGAGAGGGCGCAGACGGCGGCGGTGGGATCAAAGTTAAAAAGCACCTGCAGGAGAAAGTAAATGACGCCGCCGAACCTCGTCTCAGCCTGAGCGGAGAGACTGACGCAGCAATAGGGCTTCCAGCGCCTGTAGCCACTTCATAATTTCTCGCCGTAACCTCTGGCCGCCTCCCATGTACGAGTCCGCCGGGATGGCACGGAGGGACCGCCGGCGGGACTGCCGCCGGGGGAGCGACTGGAACACCGGCCCTGCCTCCCCTCTCCCCACCTGCCTCGCGTGGGGACGCCACGCTGATGTCGGCGGGGGCGGCTCTGGGAGCACTTCCGAGTTGTATTTTCTTCGGGGCAGGGGGAGGACAGGACGGAGGATCCCTTCGCGGCGATGCGCTTGCGGGTTTCTTTGGTCTCAGGAGCACCGGCACGGGGAAGCAGGCAGAAGGGCCAGCGGACTGCCCGGTCGGGTTCCCTGCGTACCGTGGGCTGCTCACTCCCGCCACGGGCACGGCTCCAGCCGGCTTGGCTCCCCACGGTCAGCCCCGCCAGGCTCCCCGTGGGGACGAGGCGAGGCTGGTTTTGCACCCCGTGGAACTTTGCGCCTGATTTTCTTCTCAAGGTGGTGGACATGGGTGGGTGGTGGTCTGTGCCAAAGATGATACCGAGTTGCTTGATTCCCCCCCCCCCCCCCCCCCCCTTTTTTTTTTTTTTTTTTTTTGCATTCACGGAGCTTACTTCCTCTCCTTG